CTTCTAACAAAAACCCGGGCTTTACAAACACCCTTAATATCCCTGGGCTTTTTAACCACAGTGGTCGTACACTCAAACGGAAGTGTGGTTGGGCTACCGTCTTACCCCGCATATAAGGCATATGTGCTGTAAATGAATACAACACTGCTTGTGTGTTATATTCGTTTAGAAAACCTATGTGTTGTACAGCGAACAAATTGTTTGACTTTGAAGAAGCAAGTTTGTGACAATGTACACTGCAAGAAAAAAATTTACGCCGTAAAGGCCAGTAAAATTTTCAATCACGTTTTATAATTTATACGCAAGACTGTTGTCATCAACAAGCTGTCAGTTTGGTCATTGGAGTATTTGCCTCTTTGGTTTCTATGTCGATAATGATGGGCTAAAATAATGCCCGACCTAAATCCAGGTCATCTCCGAATTCGAACCCAAAACGTCGTTGCAGAATGGCTCTCGTTATAATACAAGTGACTTGGGTGTGACGGTGTCCATTTGCAACGCACTGTGCAGTTACCGTTTCTACGAGCGTAAGATCACGCGTTAATGCCGATGTCAGCGTCATTCCTCGTTACTCTTGGTAGGGGGGTGGGGGGCATAAGAACGTGAGGTCCAACGGATTGTTTTGCGGTTTGAGGACGTTTAAGGCGCAAGAACCCCTACTTGTCGATCAAAGTAAGGAAGAATGACTCGCACACTTCGATATCAGGTGCAGGAAGCGAGGGGGGTCGTGGTAAAAGTCGGCAGGAGCTCCTTTTTGGTTCTTTGGTCTCTCGCCATGGGTTCCAATGCATCACGCGGTGGGCCGCCTGCACCTGCCGAGTCGAAGAAGGTAAAGCCACCGAAAAAATTCCCGTACTCTGATGTTCGCCTCATGAAAAAGTACCTGGTGTCTTTCGTCTACTACGAGAAATCGACGGAGGAGCTCCGACGGATTGCAGCACAGCACTGGGACAAAGTGTTCAAGGACGCACCGCCGCAGCGCAACGTCACTGCATCTACCACCGCGAGTGCACACAAGGAAGCCAAGCACATTACCAAGGCCCAGAATAACAAGATCACTGAGCTCTACGACGTTTTCTATGCCTATCTGGAAGAGCACGGTGGTGACCTAAAGCACGTCTTCCGCTCGTCTATGCATGTCCGCGGTCGCGTTCTGGTTCACATCAGTGCTGGTATGCGTACCATGCTAGCATCCGAGAACATCTCGGAGAAGATTCTGGCGCTGACCAAGACACACCGCCGATTCGGTGTTAAGCTCGAGCACTACGACTGTGTCGGTCGCGCTCTCTTACAAGCGATGGAAAAAACGTCGGGCGAGAACTGGAGTCCAGAGATTGAAGATGCCTGGAGGAGAATGTTCTCGCACTCGAGTGTGATCCTTATCCGCACGCAGAAGAAGACCGAGAAGCAAGCCAACAAGGATTCCAAGCGGGCAGCTAAGGAGAAGGAGAAATTCACAATGACGGGTATTGGTCCGTCCTCGAACCTCGTGATCACCAAGACAGGCCGTGTCAACAACCTTTACAAAATGATGACCTCAATTCGCAGCAGCAGAAGGGAAGGCATTAGTAAGAACAGTGCCAACGTCACCGGGAGCGCAAGTGAACGGGACAACGAGCCTCGAAAGCCTGCACACTCATAACGATTGTTCAAAGGTGATGTTAACCACAGTGAAAGTGCTGTCACCTCGAATAGAGTTAAGAGGTAATCGATTATGAAATGAATTTACTGTAAAATTGTAGAAATTTTTCAGTTCGCTTTCATTTTAGTCCGACATGTTTCCGCTTCGTCTCCTACTGAAGCTACCACTCGGGCTTGGACGAACCGGTTTACCCAAGGCAAAGTCGTCGCCTCGGAAAGAAGATATAGATTTCAAGGGCCGAATCGACGAGGCAGTAACTCTATTTTCCTTGTCGCCATCGTCGTACTCGATCGCATAAGTTCCGTCAGCATTAGCACGAGAAATCCTCCCCTTGACGTACTTGTCCCTCCCCATGTAAAGAGCCTCAACACGAGAACCAACTCGATGTAATTGTCTTGGTACTCCATTCGACAATTTTGATCCACCTTTTGAGTCAAGTTTCGGCGCCATACCATTAAACTTCTGTATGAAATCGTCTTCTCTCTCAACACTGATCTTCTTCCCCAGCAGCCGGATCAGCTCGGCCGCCACGCCCGTTTCCTTCTCGCCGTCATCGTAGTCGATGTCGTACGTGCCGTTTAGACGGCAGCGCGAGATCACGCCCGGGTAGAATTTTCTCTTGCCCTTGTACTGAGCCTCCACCTTGTCGCCCTCCCGGAACTTCTTCTGCTTCGGGTCGTCGTCGCTGTCGCCGCCGCCCTTCTTGCCCAGCAGCCGGATCAGCTCGGCCGCCACGCCCGTTTCCTTCTCGCCGTCGTCGTAGTCGATGTCGTACGTGCCGTTCAGGCGGCAGCGCGAGATCACGCCCGGGTAGAATTTGCTCTTGCCCTTGTACTGAGCCTCCACCTTGTCGCCCTCCCGGAACTTCTTCTGCTTCGGGTCGTCGTCGCTGTCGCCGCCGCCCTTCTTGCCCAGCAGCCGGATCAGCTCGGCCGCCACGCCCGTTTCCTTCTCGCCGTCGTCGTAGTCGATGTCGTACGTGCCGTTCAGGCGGCAGCGCGAGATCACGCCCGGGTAGAATTTGCTCTTGCCCTTGTACTGAGCCTCCACCTTGTCGCCCTCCCGGAACTTCTTCTGCTTCGGGTCGTCGTCGCTGTCGCCGCCGCCCTTCTTGCCCAGCAGCCGGATCAGCTCGGCCGCCACGCCCGTTTCCTTCTCGCCGTCGTCGTAGTCGATGTCGTACGTGCCGTTCAGACGGCAGCGCGAGATCACGCCCGGGTAGAATTTGCTCTTGCCCTTGTACTGAGCCTCCACCTTGTCGCCCTCCCGGAACTTCTTCTGCTTCGGGTCGTCGTCGCTGTCGCCGCCGCCCTTCTTGCCCAGCAGCCGGATCAGCTCGGCCGCCACGCCCGTTTCCTTCTCGCCGTCGTCGTAGTCGATGTCGTACGTGCCGTTCAGACGGCAGCGCGAGATCACGCCCGGGTAGAATTTGCTCTTGCCCTTGTACTGAGCCTCTATAGGCTGGCCTATCTTAAAAGTTGTTTTTGATTTAATTCTTGTATTTGATGTAGTTTCTTTCTTGAATCCTGGTGCTGAATCAAGCGTGCGCACGTTAACCGCAGGTATTGCAAATACCTTGTCACCATCGTCGAAGTCAATGTCGTAGGAACCATTGAGCCGGCATCGAGCGACTACACCGGGAGTGTAGCAATCCTTACCATTGCGCTTAGCTTCAATTGTCTGTCCTTGCTTAAATCTTACGTTGGGTTGCGCAGAGGAATCGTCACTCGCGGAAAGTTCACTTGGTCTTTTTACCAAGGGTCGCTTTGGACGGATCGATTCATCGTCGTTCACGAGAATTGGCTTTTTCACCGGCGAGCTAGCACGCTTTCGAAGGTTATCGCCCGGTATGCGCTTGAGCAGCTCACCATTTTCTGCTTCCAAGTCGCAACTACCATCGTCATGCGCACGAAACACGATACATTTCACGTAATCTGCATGCCCACGTAATTTAGCTTCTACTCTCTGTCCCTTTTCCCAAGACACTTTGACAGCGTCTTCTTTTGGCGGAAGCGTATGCTGTTTCTTGGCCTCCTCTGGTTTGATGTATTTGGGGCGAACTCGTACCTCAACTTCACCGTCATCATATTCGATGTCATACAGACCGTTAGTACGGCACTTCTTGATCACACCAGCAAAAAATCTTGCTCGTCCTTGGAATCGAGCTTCGACTCGATCCCCAGGTTCGTAGCCGGGATCACGCTCCTCATCAGACTCTGTCATTTTCGGCTGTTTCTTGGTTTCTTCTCCGTCCGATACATCCCTGGCTTTAATGACACGGGATCGCGAAAGTTCAATGATGCAACTTTCCTCGACGTTTTTCTCGTATAGCCCGCTGTCAAACTCAATATCGTATGTCCCATTCGGCCGGACGCGAGCAATCACACCGATCTCATAGCCTCTTTCTCCAAGTGGAATGGCTTGAATCTCCTCCCCTCGTTGGAACCGAGGCTTTTTCTCTTCCTTCTTTTGAGTTGATCGAGACGAGCGAGAGCGCTTCTCTGACTTGCGTCTCCTGGTTCGGCGACGATCTGATGGGCTAGAAGAAGAAGACCAAGAAGAAGAAGAGCTGGACGAAGAGCTCGAGACGTAGCGCTTTTTCGATCTGCGCTTCTTGTCTGCTGCTTTCGACAGCTTCTTGCTGCTAGAATTCAGAGGCCGCCCGCACATCTCGCACTCGTCCACGTCGTAGTTGTTATCAAATTTACAGAGCAAGCATTTGATGTACCCTTCACCACGCAGCCCAGGTCGTGGCTTTGATGTTTCACAGATTTCACAGTGAGTGGCCCAATCCGCGATCTGCTGATGCGCACACACTCGGCAGACCCAACCAAGTCTGGGTAGAGGAGTAGCGAAGTCTGAGCTAGTAGAGGCATGATCCACGACTCTGGTGGCTTGTGTGGCTACAGGTACTGCAGTTTGCACCTCATAGCCTCGAGCTGGGCTTTCATGCGCGAATGGATCCGATCGATGACCCCCCAAGCTACTGAAGTGAAGAGGAAAGTTTTCCATCGTGCGGCTGTGAGGTGGATTTGCCCTTGCAACTCCCACGTCCGTCATTTCGAGAAATCGCACGTACGAAACACACGTCGTATCGGAAGGCTTCGCAAGTTCTATCATCAAGAAGTGCAGCGTCGTTTCCGGTATGATGATGCTGTAGTCATGTAATAGCGTCGCGAACGTCGATCGAGGCACAAATCCAGTGTGGTGCGAGTCATACTGAGCAAAAAGATCACCAAGTTCGATGCCGCTATTCGCTAAAACACTCCGTCGAGTCGCCACCACCGACCGCATGTTATCCCTGGGGACAACAAAGCCCATCAGAATGGTTTATATAAATGCACTCAAGTCCACAGCAAACTCACAGCTCCTGACGGTCAAGTTCAAGAAACCGGCCGAAGGCCACGTAGTCCACCAGGCCAGACCCTGGGACATTGAAAAGCTGGCCGATACTCTGAAGCACTTGGTCGCCGAGGATCACCCCCATTCTGGCCAGCGCTTCCTGAATCACCCCCAGCCGGACTCCTCCAGCATATGATAGATCGTACGACTGGAAAAACGGAACTAAGTCAAGGTACGCCTGCGCTCGCACCAGCGCCTCCCGAATTTGAAGCTTCAGATGCTGCGGTGTCGATGCGGGGGGCACGGAAGTTGGATAGTTCCGAGGCTGTGATCTGCTCCACCCTGCTGACCGCTGCATTACGGCTCCTCCTCCATGTAACATCGTCCCACCAGAGTGTGGCATGTAGCTCCCTTCGAGCATTGCATCCATGTGTGAGACTGGGCAGATAGGCGATCCGATCTGGTAGTTAATCGGCGACAGTCGGGCACTAGGGCCTGTGTAGACTCCGTGGCTCTGCATCATGACGTTGGGCGACGTCATAGGGCGTTGGTGCGGATTCTGATCGTACATGGGGTAGGTCGCCGGCGCGTAGTTGCGGTGGTCGTAGTGGTGAGAAGAAGGTGTTTCCACTCTACTTGGGTGTCTGTAGGAAGAGCTGCGCGCTGGCGCCACCTCTCTTGAATGCGTGATCCCTCGCCAGTACTCCGGGTCCAGAGGTGTAGGGCTCCCGTCGCTGGAGTCGTCCGAATCCGAGCTATCCGAGCGCGCCAAGTACGCCAGAGTCTCCATCTTCATCTACTTTGCTCTCTCTTCAGCTAAATGAATTATGTAGGGCGCCTCCATTGCGACCGGTGGCCGGAGAAATCTAAGATTAAAGGCACTTGCGTTCAAGTTTGCACAGAATGAATGTCCTTTTTCTTCTTTAATAAAATTTAGTTTAATGTTAGCTCAGTAACCTCATAACATTAAACTACTCCTGGACACAATTATACGGCCACCTCCTCGGACAAGACGTCGCAGAGGTGGCGGAAGAGGAAGGCATCTTTTTCGGATCGCAGGAACTATATTTTGTTAGTAGTAGTGCCGTTAGTAGGAGCCCGGAGGTGATCTAGGCTCACTTTTGCTTTCCTTTGTTCTCTTTTGCTTTCCTTTGTTCTCGACGACTTCGAAACCTCGACGACCTTTGGAGCTCGCCTTCTCGGACCTAGCGACGCACGAAAGCTAACATTGCTCATACCACCCTGTACGCTCTATTTAAACCTGATGTCCTCGGGACGATAGGCTACACGTACGGGAAGACATCTTCTGAGGAACGTCAAGGTGCGTACGACATCGATCGAGTGGCTAGCGGACGTTGAGAGTACATCGGCGCCTTCACAACCCAACGAGGAGCCCCGGTAGGTGGGACAAAAGGGGGGTGACGCAAGAGGAAGCCTTGAGTGAAAATAGGAACCTATGTCGAGCAGTGCCTTATGGCACCGCCTCGGGTTCCGCACGGAAAGCCCAAAGGTCTGGGCACTACGGAGTGGTTGGTCGGGTTACACCTTGGAAATAACCTCGCAAAATTCAGGCTCTCCTACTGTTTACATTTCGCGGGATGGAAACCAGCGACGCTGACTTTGTGCGGGGGAAAGAAGCTCCCAAGACCTGGGCCCTGGGAGACATTCC